TCGCCTAAAAGATTCTTTTAATAGAATCGTCGATGGCATTTCCTCCAAGGCAACTGAGGTATGAGATCTAATGCAAGTATTAATTATCAAAAGTGCAGCTCGCAAGTTCCTTTCGAAAGTTGTCCTCCAGAAGTATAGTATTAAGCTGCCGGAAGTCGACCGATGATCTCCATAGCTTCGTAACAGGATTCCGACTCAGACTGGAACTCTCCTCGGCGTTGACCCTTAGCTGCTGGCGAATCAGCGCCTCTAGCTGCTGCTGCCGGCCTAGACCATAATTTCGACTTTTTCAAGTCGGGCTATTATGTCCGGACTGAAGTCCGCAATGTGACGGCACATCAAAGGAGAGCCTGATCACGATGGGCGTTTGCGGACTGTCACCGCTGTTGGAGAATTCTACGGGAGATATTTTGAAACAATTGTCTCACGAGACAACAACGGCGAATCGCCGTTTGGCTCGTTCATTGTAGTGTTTCAAAAAACAAACGACAAGAAGTAGGTTTCTTGTAAGAGCGTTCCTAGGAAGTGACCCACGTTAACAACTTGCTGATGTTATTTATATACAGAATGCACAGTCGTACTAGTAATTTGCAATGAAGTATATTTTATAATGACTGCATGCTAGACGAACAGCCATGGTCCTCTCCACCCCAATTAAACCCAGCCCTCAGGTCGCAGCATATGCTAGTAGGGGTTTGTCAGATCTCGTATTAAGGCTTATGCTGAACCTCAATTATATCATCTCTTCGAAGCCTATTCGGTACCGAACAAGGTACCGCTGTTAGAATAACTGCTTTGAAACGAACACCTTATAATTATGTTTAAAAATGACAGGTCAGTGAGAACGAGCAGTGCACTTAGATCAATGTGTCAGGTTAAGATTATTCTCCTACGAGCTTTGTTGTGCACATTTCGCTCTTCTTTTCTAAGTCGCCCACCGTCATAACCAACATCTTCACTTGAATACCAGTGGTGGCTAATAAAAAGAAGCCGAACGAGCAATCTCTTTCCAGCAGGCCACTCAGTACCTTTGCCCC